CAGGACAGCTCCCAGAGCAGGTCCCTGCTTGTAGAAACTATGGGAAAATCTCCAGTTCCTATAGGATGAGCAGCAGCTACTAGAGCTGCTCCCCTCTCTGCAGGAAACCTGTGAACAGGGGTTGTTTCTCAGGGCTGTTCCCATGGTTCCTGGAGGTGGGTTGTGGGGAGGAAAACAGGAGGCAGCTCTGGATTGTAGCAGCATTCTCCCTCTCCGGCTGTCTGGAAATCCTTTAAAGTTTCTGGCTGGCAGGCAGCTGGAGAATGCCTCCTGCAGCAGAACTGCCTGCCAGCTGGGAACTTTAAAGAACTCTAGGCAGCCTCAGACCAGCTTGGGCCAGCTGTCAAGCTACCCTGGAGTAGGAAACTTTGAAGGGCTCCTGTGCAGCCCAAGACTGAGGAAGGCCACTGCAGTGGCAGTTTCTAGTCTTAACCAGCTGCTGCCAAAGCAGGAACAGCTGATTAGACAAGCCTGTCAGTGAGCATGTCCTGCTCACTGGGGATGGGGGAGTGGGGAGAGAGCAGCCCCTGGTTGGAGAGCATGCCTTTGTGGCAACTTTGTTGCGCTCCAGTCAGGGAGCTGTTCATGTGTGTCCGCCCATAGTGCTCTTGTTTTTGTAGTGCTACAATCTTTGTATTAGAACAAAAATGTCTGTCAGAGTCCTTAGTTTACAGGTTTTGAGCAGGCAGAGTGTGTTCAGTATGCTGTGGATGGAAACACATCATACCCTAATATCATGGCTGTTTTATTTCTACCTCTCACCCTTCCCAAACACAGAAGTCTTAAAACATTTTTTTTCCCCTTTAGGATTTTCCTGTTGAACAGACCATAATTGGATTAGGATTGCTTTTGCTACGGACTCCAGCAAGTCAGCAAAAACCCATTTTAAATCTAGGTAAAGGTCCACTTGTTATATCTAGTTTTTAAGACTGTAGCTTCCTGTTTGTTTCTTTTAATTAAATTTCAGGTATTGCCTTTTGCAGTTTGTCTTCTCAGAAGTTAGATGAAGTGGTTGATATATTCTTTGTGTTAAGCTGGAAATCTTTATTAACCAGTAGAAGTTAGATATGCTGAAGCCAAAGGCAAAAAGAGATTTCTTCTCCATCTCCTGTAATGGAAATTAATGTTTTCTGGCTTGTTTTCCAACTCTATTAGACAGTTTGCATTTTTTAAAGCCAGCAGCAGGGTGTTCTTTACAGAACCTGGTACTTCAGAGCCAGTTGTTGGGGATCCTTCAAGGCACAGTGGAAAGACCTTTTTTGTATGACTGGACTTTCAACTTCTTGTTTTAGTAATAGGGAATGGATCCTAGTAATTTCATTAACAAGCAGGGGTTTTTGTAGATTCCATTATTGCATTTCTTGGAAGTTGGGTTTCTTGGTATAAAACAGAGGTGTAAAACAGCTGGCTCATGAAGCTGTTTCATCCATCCTGCAGGCCTCCTGGAGGTGCAAGGAATTTGGGAGCGGAGCCCACCAGTGTATTTTGGGGTACAGAGCCCCTTTGGGGATGCATTTTAGGGGCGGTAGCATGGGCGATGGCTGCACTAACTTGATCGTACTTCCATTGCCACTGGAGGTGGGTCCAGATCCAGCCTGGGGAGCCCAATGAGTTTGCTTTTGATGTAAAGGAAAGGAATGTGCATGTCTAACCCAGTAATGGTGTTGTTACCGCACAATAGTTTGTATTGTGGTACTGTATGTATATTGTAACTATTTGAGACTGGTGAATTGCTAGACAAGTGTGTTTCTTAGACAATGCACATCATGCTGAAAACTATAACTGCTTTTTCTCATCTACTTTTTTCTCTTGTTCTAATAGCCTGCAAGCTCCTTTCCTATTCAGAAACACAGAAAATTCCAACCACATCCCTTGTCTTGGTGATGCCTGCACTGCAGATCTTATCTTCTACAGTAGTTGAGGACTGCATATCACAGGAAGATGCTGGCTCCACTAGGCAACAGTTGGCTATAAATCTTTTGGAAATGGTACAGCAGAAAAGCATGAAAGATGGAAAGCAATTGGTAAAGTTTTGCATTCAAGCTTTTATCCTTCTTTGGGGCAGGCAGAGGGAGAATTTAACAGTTTATTATGTTGTTACATGTAGTCATTTGCATTTAAAGGATGAGAAAGGCTGCGTGTGCTATCATTTCTGTTTGGGAACTGTCCAATGTTAAAGATAAGTAAAAATATATAAAGTACAAAGGAAACAGTTTATAATAATAATAATAATTAGTATTATTAGTATTAGTATTATTAGTATTAGTATCAGTTCTATCTGTGAAAATACTTTTCTACAGAATTTTATGGTTCTTGAATTGACCCCTTTCTTTGCCACAGTTACAGTCTATTATTTTCTCCTCTTTGTTGAAGGATGGAAGAGAACAGCAAAAAAGACAAAAGGGAAATTAAAAATAGCATACTTGGAACCATCGTGTGCTGTTTATTTAAGAGTAGGCATTTGAGAAATCTTACCCATATCCGCTCTTCGGATCCTGAGAGTACATGAGAGCTGCCCATTCTCTGATCCTTGTGATCCAGGCTTCAACATTTAGGACTTTTCTTCATTTGTCTCTTCACAGTCCTTTTTCAGTTGGTACTGGAGTCTGCCCAGAGTGATTAGTACAATTGAGTTAGCAAAACATTTCTGCTTCTATGTCTAATATTCTCTTCTCTTAAGTCTTGTCTCTCCAGAAGTTCATAGAAGTAATAGCTAAGAATGCAGCCAATATGCCAGGTTAACAGAAGACTTATAAACTTTCAGGTTATTGGGAGCCCCTATATCAAGAAATGGAAGCTTAAAGATTAACTTAACTTGGAACTTAAATGGTCCTCTCTCCATTGTAGAACACAGAAACTCCTAAAGGTCTGTGTCAGTGGGCACTGAGTGGAAAAAATAATGTCTATAATTGAATTCTTTTGGAGCATATTTTCTGTGCTTTACCCGGTACCTCGTCCAGAGTTGCTCAACCCTCACTTTGTGGACCAAGTTCAGCCTACAGAGCCATGGTATTCAGTCAGGACAGTTGATGGCGTGGGAGCAGTGGCATTAATACTGCCATCCTTCCCTGCTGCCAAATTACAATTACATAGCTGGATTGAAGCTGAGCTGGTATAGGCAGTTGCCACGCAACCAAATTGGGGCCAGGCCCACCTACCCTGCACACTGGATTGGGCACCCATTGGCTGGATCCAGCCTGTGGATGGACTGGGCACTGTCCATCTGGCCTGCAGGGTAAAAATGTTGGGCACCACTGACCTAGTGTAGTAGCTGCAGGTCATCACAGGACACAGAGAACAAAATGCTATATAATGTTATTTTTTTATAAAGAGTTTTGCTATTTAGCTGCTGCAGTGTTCTCCCTACCTCCAAACAGGAGGTTTCTCTTCCATTAATGTAGAGGTTTCCATTGTCTGTAGCTTTTTAAATATTCAGCCTCTAAGCACTTCATGGTGGCAAGATTGGTCAATATCAGTCTTGAGAAAAGTCTGTGCTTCAGTAATGCATGTCAAGAGATGCAAGGTAGAATCTGTAGGCTGTGGCAGATGTGTGCTGTTGTTTGTTGACAGTGTGATATCCTGTGGTTCTACAACCCAAAAATTCAGCATCCTGTTGTTCTGGATTTTGTACTGTTCCAACACACTTGCTCAGTGAATTTGTGCATCAGGGACAAATTGCTAAGAGAAAATCCTTTGTAACAGACACTTCTCACATAAACTTTCACAGCTTTGTACTCTTATCTCCTGCTTATTGGTGAGAAAAGTAAGCATGCTTCTACAGACATGTCTCTGAGTTACAGGATTCATTAACAAATGTAAAGGTTCTATCCCTTGTAGTTCAGTTGCTCCCTCCCCCTACTTCCCCCCCAAAAGCAGTAATAACAAAACTGAAATCTGTAGTTCTGCCAGTAAAGACTGTATTTTCTGTCATTGCTCATGCACTTAAGGTTTGTATCCGGTGGAAGTTACCCAGCTAGATTTGTGCAAAGCAGTGTTTAAGCTGGCATGGAAGTATGAATCTGCCAGCCCTCCACTCCCTACAAAGACTTGGTATACTTCAGCTTCTTCAGTCTTTCCTTAATTCAACCTGAAGCAGTGAAAACTAGTGGGATAAGCATTTATGCTTCCCAGTCCCAGTCCTAGCAGCTGTTCTGTGGTGAAAAACTCCCTGAGGCCTGATCCCAGTTTTCAAGCTCAAGAGGGAGCTTAAGCCACTCAGAATTTTGTAGGAGCAGACATGTTTACAGTAACACGAAAAGATCCCAAACCCTTTCGGCCACATTCTGCTTTTAGAAAAGCCTATGGAAAAACAGCTGGAGTCAGTGAGAGCCCTGGATACGTTGAAGGGAGAACTGAGCTGTAAAATATCTCATTGGACAGAGGGACGGTGTTCTGGTGGTTTAATTTTTCATATATGGTAGCTATAATGGAATAAATATTAGATTGAGTTAATTTTGATTTAAATGCTGTTCTAAAAAAGGTCATTTAAAGTACAGGGGCATTATCCTTCCCATTATCCAAAATGAATTTACATTACATTAAACAATGTGATTAAAATGAAACTGTCGTTTTTGGCAGAATGGCTATAGCTTCTCATTGAAAATATCTCTTCCACTTGGAACTTCAAGGGTGAATAGGTCTTACTTGGGGCTGAAATACTTGAGATGGGCCAGCTTTTAATCTCCAGCTGGAAAACTTCTTTCAGATGCTTTCTTGATCTCCTTAATATTGAATGTGTGGTGCACCTAAATGTTCCCTCTGAACTATGATTTTTATATTGGATTTGGAAGAACATTTACAAATGTTTCCTTTTATAAGTGCATGTATTATTGGTGTGATGTGAATGTCTAATTTAGGTAAATGACTACTTTAATGGTTTGTTTCCTTTAAAACACAAATGGAACTTTCCATGAACTTCAGAACAGGGTAGGCATAGTTAATAATTCCTTGTTGGGTTTTTAACTTTTTCCTGCCATTTCCCAGCCTTACACAATGCAATCTGCCCTGGAACCTGAGAAGGTAGAATGACTAGTCTAGTTTCATTGCCCAGAGTTGGGTAAAATACAGAAGGTAAATCAAAAAAGTGAAATTGGTCAAAAACAGTTACATCAGTCATGATTATTTAGAGTGTTTTTACTAAGAGTTAAGGGAACTCCTTTTTAAATTATATCTATCACTCATCATTCATAAATTCATAGACCTCAATAGGGACCTCAGTAGCTCATCGAGTCCAACCCCAGGAAAGAGACAGGAAAGAGTGCTGGGTTCAGATGACCCCAGCCAGATGCCCATCCAACCTCCTCTGGAAGACCCCCAGGGTAGGGGAGAGCACCACCTCTCTTGGAAGCCTATTCCAGATTTTGGCCACTCTAACTATGAAGAAGTTCCTCCTAATGTCCAGTCTAAATCTGCTCTCTTCTAGCTTATGGCCATTTATTTCTTGTGACCCCCAGGGGCGCCTAGGTGAGTAGAGCCTCACCAATTCCCTTCTCTGCCCCCATGATGAATTTATAGGCAGCCACAAAGTTGCCTCTCAGCCTTCTCTTGTGGAGGCTGAAGAGGTCCAGGTGCCCTAGTCTCTCCTTGTAGGGCTTGGCCTGCAAGCCCTCAACCATATGAGTGTCCCTTCTCTGGACCCTCTCCAGGTTATCCACATCCCTTGTGAAGTGTGGCGCCCAAAACTGCACGCAGCACTCCAACTGCAGTCTGACCAGCATCTGATAGAGGGGAAGTATCACCTCCTTGGTTCTGTTTGTCATGCATCTGCTGATGCATGATAAAGTACAGTTAGCTTTTTGATGACTTTTGTCACACTGACGACTCATGTTCATCTTGGAGTCCCTGGTCTTTTCTAATCTGCCAGTTTAAAGCCCCATGGGCCAGTCTCCAAAATGAGTGGTATTTTGCAGAAGCAGAGACTCCTAATAAATTCAAGTTGTATTGTTTCCACTTCAGTTTGGAGGTAGAACAATAATTATCAGTAGGGATAAGGATAATTGCTACCAAATAAAAAGGCAACTCCAGGGCAGGGAACTGGTATCATGCTGTTCATTAGTGCCAGAACCCACAAACTAGGATCTAAAGAAAATATAGCGATTTATTTTTATAGTGGTGGAAACCTCAGATGAAAGATTTGCTTAGGCACTTTGCCTACTTTTCAAGATTAGAACTTGCCCTTTCATGGTACTAATCTGGATTTTTTTTTTTCCAGTCATCCTGCAAGCTTGTCTTCCCTATTAGCAGTATTTACAGTTCATTGTATATAACCTGGAAGATCTTGGAGCTTATGAAAGAGAGGTCTACAGTGTCTGATTGGCTGTCTTCCATTAAATCACTGCTACCTAGTACTACTCAAGTCCCCACTCATGCTTTTCTTCTACTGGCTTATCTCTTGGTTCAAGAAAATGGAGACAGTCTTCGTGCAGTACTGAGTGCCACTACAGAAATAGCCAAAGCAGATTACTCTCAGGTAAGATCTTCCTACTAATGGATCACTTTGACTTATTTGTTTACATTGTATAGGTGGTGGGGTGAAATCTGTGCCCTGGTCTTTTCTATTTATTGTTGGTGTTGCTGGAAATTTTTGATACCTGTTTTGTGAATTGAGAATTAAAATTTACTACTGTAAATTATATCACTGTATCTATGGAATATCACTTGTTATTGGGAGGAGTCCAGTCACCAAATCTTTCATAGTGCAGAATGAAATAAAATGTAAGATTGAGGGGTGGAGGTGCTTTTTTGTTTGTTTATTTAAATACCTCGAAAATGGTACTCTAAGAATGATTTGTGGTCTTCTCATTTTGTTGGCTGCTCAGTGGCTGCCATCTTGAACGTGCCTTTCTGAAGCATCAAATCACTGAATCTAAAAAAACTTTGAGTTTACTCCAGTGTGACTCAGTTGAAAACTGTACTTTTACAGTTTCAAACCTAAAAGTGGTATGGCAGAATGGAGGATCACTCCTTTGCTTTTTGCTGCTCTGATTTTTAGAGCATAAAATGGCAGATCTGTGTTTCTAATTCTGGTTCTGATATAGACTTGCTGTGTGACCTTTAAGCTAAGTACAGACATTTGGGGGCATTAGGGGGCAGTTAAGTGGATTCAAAATGGCTGCCCAACACCAGGTAGGTTAGTGAGGGGAGTTGGGGGTCCAACAGGTTGGAAGGGATTGGGGATCAGCTGGGGGGTGGGGGGCAGGTGCTACTCATGGATGGGGTGGAAGGGCGGGCAAGTCCCACAGGTCAGGTAGAGGGGCAGGCATGATCTGTGGGTAGGGTGGGGTGCTTACCCCTCCAGTAAACCTACACCCCCATCCCTTCTACCCCTCTGCCTACTGGGACTTACTTGCTTGGCTCTGGCAGCAGCGAACACTGATAAAAGTGGCTACACCCAGAGTGACTTCTGGGATGGGGGTTGAGAGGGCTGGCTGGTTGGAAGGGGGGGGGGCAAAAAAAAATAGCTCAGTGCAAGTGGGGGTGTGAAAAGAGCAGCCCTAGGGCTGGGGCTAGTGGCTGGGTTTTCTAAGCCCTGGGGCTGTGCAGGGAAAGTGTACAGAAGTTTCGTGCACTGGTTTGATATAAATCAAATGACTTTGATACTGTGTAGATCCAGGTTTATCTTAAACTGGGTTCTGCAATTTTTAGATTGGTTTATATGCATGGAACTTCTGTACAGTTACAGGTTTAGACTGACTGCTGGTCACTGAGACTGGGTCTGTAAGTGTAAGGTTGGTTCTAGGATGAGCTAAGTTTAAATCAGGTGGCCATTTTGAACCGATTTAACCTCCCCAAATGTGTGTACGTAGAATTAGTGAACAGGCCTTACTGTTCACAGTCTTTTAAATGGGGTTAATGCCTTTGTGGTGGAGCACAGTTGGGGTGCTCACCACGTCACGGGCTGCAGCAGACTGGGACTAAGCCAGCAGACAAGGGAGCCAAGTGAAGCCCCTGAATGTAATTTTTAAGGGGGAAGGTGTATGGCAGAGCACCTTTGGTGTCTGCTACCAACAGGTGCAGCCCCAGCTTTGAGTGGCCATTTTAAGACTCAGGCCAGCAGAGCTGGAGGAAGCAGTCTGCTGCCTGGCACCGAGGCAACAACATCTCCTGGTGGAGCTGCTGCTTCGGTAACACTAGAGGTAAGGGCAAGAGCTTATGGGAATGACTAGGAGTCCTGGGCATGACTTGAAATGCTACCCTGCCAGGGAAGGGTGGCCTAGTGGGGCTCCTAGTGGTGAGGGAGCCACCAGGAAATGCCAGGCCAGTTACCTCCCTGGTGAAAGATGAGGAGGGGTGCCTTAACTGCAGCCCCCACCTTCAGGCCCCAGTGAGAGAGGGGTGGTATGAGTGTGGCTTGTAACACATGTTCCCAGATTTGCCCATCACTTTGGGGTGTGCTCATTTATTATGGATATGTTTCTAGGGTCTTGGTAATTCTATCAGTGTTCTGTTTGTGTTACTTGAGTTTCTATACGGAGCTGTATCTCTCCCTTCTGCAAGCCCTCACCCCCAATGGAGGGGTGTTGCAGGACTCAGTTTCAATGGGGCTGGGTTCCTCCAGTCACCAAATCAGTCATACACACAAATGCACACAGATTAACATTGACACGCCTGACCCAGCCAGGTTGATCAGCATGGACAGGCTGACACCCTCATGTGCCAAGAATCAGTTCATCAGAACAACAATACACTGCAGTCAGACACAAGTACACATGTAAACAGAATACCTTCTGAATCTGGCTGGGTGTCCAGCTGATGCCCTCATGGGCCAGCATACAGTTCATTAGGGCACGTCTGAGTCAAACTGGGTCAAGCAGCCTATACAAGCTGATTTCCTTATGTGTTTCAAGCTCAGCATGTCCAAATCTGTAGCCTCTTGATGAGCAGACCCCACAGTATTTTTGGGCTACACAGGGATCTTTAGCTTAGGTAAAAGAAGCATTGCTGCAGAGCACGTGAGGAAGGAGAAGCAGAGAAGGAAAAATATACCCAGTTACCACCAGTTTGACTATAAAAGTTATTTATTGCTAAGTATATGAAATATATAATGGTACTAGTAATAATAGACATGCAAAGGAAAAACAAACACAAACAATTACAGTACTACCCTGGTTTCACTAAGTATTTGAGGAAACTTAACTCAGGCTTAACTAGTACAGTTCAGAAATTTATGCCTAGAGAGAGAAAAGAGAGAGAGAGCTGGGATCTTACCAGTCCAAGGCACTCGGGTTGCAAAGCTGACAGGTTTGAAGTTCTCAGCACGATCCTTGAAGGGAGACTATCCGTTTTGTCCAGCCTCTTGAGAATAAAGCGAGTGGTGTGAGAGGGACTTCTCCTCTTGAAGTGCGCGCACACACACACACACATTGCTGCTTTTTACAGATTTTTTTATACCCTCAGTTCAGCTTCTTCCAGGCATTCTCAATAGTGTAAATAATTGTCTTTTCTATTGACAAGGGGTTATCTGGTTTGGAACATCTCAAGAAACTGATTGATAATCAGGAAACACGTAAGGTTAAAGAGTAACCAGACACTTAGGAGCCAGCTTGAAATTCTTATGGATAGCAGATATACTGATGGGATATCTCATGGTTTCTTCAGAAACAATAGATAGCTTGCAGCATCAGGGTTTTGGATTTTTACTTGTGAACAAGCCTCAGCTTAGTGTGACTTTTTCCAGATCTTACTATATATGGTCTTTTAACAGACTTAAGGCACTTATTGGAATGTTCATGACCTTTGGGAGGGGAGGACTTCCACCAGTCGTCCCGGAAAAAGCATGACAACACTTGTGGTCAGGGCTCCAATGGGCTGGATGCTGTGATGAACCCTTTACCATTGTTCAATTGTTGCCCATACCCCCTCTGACTTGGTGTCTTGCCTTAGCATATCCTACCGAGTTTTAGTCAATCAAGTTTAAATAGGCCTCCCATAGTGGAACTGGGGAATGTACGGCCCAAGATGCCTAGTAAACTTTACTTTTGCTTAGAGGTATGTGTGTGGGGGGTGGGAAAGTCCTTTGTAAATCCAGATTAGAACTGGTCTGATAAATGCTGAGCTGGGTGTGTGTAAATGTGGCTTGATTAGCATTTGGAGCACAGATTCCCCATCATGCAGTGCTCCCCTGCTTCTCTAATCCCAGAATTCACTGTGGTCTCTGCTTC